CCATTAATATTCCCACACATGTGATTGATCTGGATTTTATACATCCCTTACTAACCACCAATCAGTATTCACATGTCCACCACATTACCCACAAACTATTTATTTTTAACTCTTAAATCGGTGTATACCAGGTAGGTGCTTATTGCTTCCGGTTTGGTGTGCCTGTCAGCAGGGTTTTTCTCACTTAATCTCTACTTAGCATACTTCCAGAAGTTCATATCTCAAGCCATGTAGCTGCCTTTACCCGAACAGATAAGTATCTCAAGCCTGCATGCTGCCGTAACTAGCTAGTTTCCTGCGACTTTCAGGACCCAGGTCTTAACGTATCCAATTAGATCTGTGCTAACGACTATACTTCCCAATATGGTGACAAGGCTGCCCAGGCATGTTTTACAAATACTTCCAGTAGTCAGTATAGTTGGAGGGCATCATAAGGTTTAGAGATAACAGGTGCATCATCGTTTCTTTTTATAGTGATTCTCGGTAGTTGTAGTCTCCAGTTACTACTACATATGCTTATACCAGCTCTATCTATATTGGTAGTCCCAAGTCTTCTTAATGCCAAAGGCTTCTATACAGATATGACAAGAGCCTGTTAGGTCTATTAATATGTACACGCCTCCATGCTTCAACTTCTTATTGGCCGGTGAGTTTCGTATGTGCCAAAGGTATTCCAAATCTGGTAAGGCCAATTCTTTACCACAGGTCCTTTTGTGTTTTCTAATTCTAGTTACCGCCCGGTTATCCTCTCAAACAAGATCCCCAATGCCACCTTAGGGGTTGTTAGTGCTACCTTGCCAATTGCGGATTTACATGCACAACCTTTGTGTAATAGAACCTTCTGTAGCAACTACTGTTACACATAGTACCAACTACTCCACAATGGACCTCCTTCTGAAAATTCCTAATCCAGACTTGTATTCACTTGGACTTTCCACGGCAGATACTTTCAAATATTCATAGGTAAATGTACCTACTAGGACTTGAACCCAAAACCCGCTCGTGGAGGGTTGGGTGTCTAGACTACTAAGTCATGGAATCCCAACTCATAGGATGGCAACTTTCATTATTACACTTTTAGTGATTTACTAATAAAACTTAAGACTTGTCTTAAGAGTAAAGTTTTTTTTATAGGCAAAAAATATATAAAATTTAAAAAAATTTAAAGAAGAAATTGTATAGTAAAAATTTTAATACAAAAGCTTTAAACTTTTATTATACTAAAGTTTTTTAATAATTTTAAAAATTTTCTTAACAAAGCTAAAAAACAAATCTCAAATTAAAGAAATATATAACTAAAATTAATATTTAAATTTTATTAAAAAAAATTAAAAATTAAAAAAATTTGCAGGCAAATTTGGCTGCAAAACAATTTAAAAGATAGTAAAATTTAAACAATATAGCTTAGTAGTTAAATTGCTAAACTCTTTATAAAATATTAATAACTAAAAGCAAAAAATATTTTATAATTTAATTAGAAGCTATTAAAATCAAATACAAAGCTTTGTAAAATATAATTTTATTATAAAAATTTTTGAAATAAAATCTAGCAATATAAATATTAGTATTTTTTTTTTCTTTTTTAATTAATTTAGCAATCATACTAATATTTTATTAGATTTGAATACCAATACTATTTCATTTCTATTTTATAACAATATGATTTAAGCTATATAGTCCTTGCTATATAGCTTAATTTAAGTTATAAGTATTAGCTAACCTGGCTCTTTGTGATCTAAAAAAATTTTAAAATAATCCTTAGTTCAAATTACCTATATTCGATCTGCTATAGTAACATTTTTCTTTATACTATTTTTTTTATAATCAAAAAATCTAATATATTACTGAAAGGCTTTTACAATTCTAGCTCATCATAATTGTCTTTTTTTTTTTTAATTCTAAACTTTCTTTTTCTAACTTTCTAAGTAGAAAAAAAAATCTTTAAATACTATATAAAAAAACTTTAAGATTAAAAAAAAAAAAGTGAAATTTAAAAGAAGGAAATGTCTATACAAAAACTACAATAAAATAACAAAAAAAATATAAATAAAAGAAAAAAAAAAGGCAAAAAAAAAAGAGAAGAAATTAATCTATTGTATAATAAATGCACTGTTATAACCTATACCAGATAAGTATAAAAATTATATAACACAACATTTGTATATCTCTATTGTAACGCTTTATCTTAACATTCAAATTATTCTTTTTAGTTTTATAGCCAATTCTGAATAACTTTGTTCATACCTGTTCTAATCTGTATTTCAAATCAGGTGCTACTACTATTTGTAGACCTATATCTCAGGCTATTTAATGCTGCTATTAGAAGTTCTTTGCTTAAAGCCTAGTATAGTAGTACTATATCTATAAACTGTCTGAATTTGAAAAGTAAACAACATTGATCTTTTGAAAAGGGTAAGCCAAATCCTACTTTTTTTCAAAAATTTTAAAAGACTGACAAAAAGCCAAGAATAAGTAAAAGAGAAACCACTTGACTAAGTAAAAAGAGTGCAACTTAAGAAAATATATTTTGTTGTTTCTCCTGTGTTCTTTTTTGAAATAATAACCTAGAAGCTTCATCAATGAAGTTGAGCTTTACTACCCACACTTCACCAATATTTTTTATACAAAGGTACCTTCTATAAATATTAGTATTGAATATAAAATAATATAAAAAATATTAAAAAAAATAATATAATTATAATAAAAGAATAATAAGAAAGCTAACAGAAAAAAGCTTATATAATCTTTATCGCTTTCTAACCCTCTTTATACTCTTTTTACTTTATATTTTTTTTTACTCCTCTTTATCTTTTTTATTTTTTCTAAAAGAGGTAAAAGAGATAAAAAGAGTAAAGAGAGGTATGGATAAAAGAGAGTAGGGAGAGATAGGGTATATACAGTATATGAGTTCTTTCTTTGTTAGCTCTCTAACAAATTACCAAAAGAATAACAAAAAAAAAAATAACAAAAAAAAATGATAAAAAAATTACTCAAATGATGATAAAAAGCAATGTAAAGGACACCAAAAAAACAAAATAAAAATCACTAAAGAATAGCACAAAAGCCACCAAAAAAGCAACATAAAAGTTACCAAATAAACAATAAAAAATGCACTGAAAAGAACAATATAAAAAGACACCAAAAAGTGATAAAAAGAAAATAAGAGGTGAACAATTTTTTGTGGGAACGCTACCTAAGATATGATAGATAGTTAAAAATTACAGTATCATTATAATCCCAGATCACTATAATATCCTGATCCATATGTGAATTAGCGGAAACAAAGTTTCCGCTAATTCCCAATTGATCAGGATATTATTATCACTAATATACGCCTTCATCATAATACATGCATTCGTCACAAATAGTTGTATGATAGTTAAAAACTACAGTTATAAACAGCTTATATAAATTATAAAATAACAAGCTAATTACTGTAATTTTATTTATTTACAGTATTTATTTTATTTATTTCTTTTTTTGTTAGCACAAATATGATTCAGTGCATGACAATTTTAATTCAGGATAAATGCATATATCTAAATGCCATGTCTTCGCGTTATTTCGAAAATTTTCAGCCAAATAACACACGTGCATTACATGTATTTGTAGGAATTTGGAAGTGTTTACTACAGATCTCTGATTCAATATATCCAAGCCCGAGCAATCAATATATTCTTTCTTTAGACTCTGAAATTCTAAAGATTTCATATACCTATATTTCGTCCCAATAATGAAGCCTCCTCCCTCCTCTAGTATATTACTAATTATATAATTTGATTATGCACATATTTTCTAAAAATAAAATTTAATAAAACTAGATTGAGAATAGGTGACAAATTTCCTTTCAGATAACGTTATTGTGATACGTACTACGTAAGAAATAATAAACGCGTACGAACGTACATCCTACTTATTTTGATAGCATCATTGTTAAATGCAAACCGCGTTAAATTGTGTCCATAAATAAGTTCTCACAAATGACTGTCTGTAATCGGAATTCATTATGAAGTGTTTACATATTCGCGAGTCTACTCTTCGAAGGATAAATAAATAATAAATAAATAAGCGTCACCAAAAGTATTAGATAAAATTCCATGCTTTCTCTTGGCATCACTCAAACAAATGCACACATATGTGATATAGGCAAATTTGTATTTCAATCTAAATAAATTCGTTTCAATTTAAATAAATTCCGTTTCAATTTAAATAAACTCCGTTTCAATTTAAATAAATTCCGTTTCAATTCCGTTTCAATTTAAATAAATTCGTTTCAGTTCGTCTTAAGCAGTTTGGAGAACAAGCATGTGTGACAAGATTTTTCTTGTTTTTCCAAATATATGGGGGTTTTTTTTTTTAAATAAAGGGTTGTGCTTATTTAACAATATGTGATAGAGGCTTTTTAATTTATGTACTTTTAGAGGTGATTATTTTAATCATGTCTGATATAATTTGTACAAACGTGTTTAAAATGATGTCCATTGTAAAAAGCGTCAAAAAAGGGATGCTTATCAACGACAATTACAACAATTGCACATTATCTCAATGTTTAAAATAAATCGCTGAGCTTTTGATAAATTTATTATTTAAAAAGCGAGTATATGCATGCAAATTATCTACATCAACAACTTTGAAATTCGAAAAAAATTCAAAAATAAATATGCTTGATAAAGTAGTTGCGATGATTATTGCTTTTTTTTTTTTTTTTCCTAATAATACAACAAATAGCAAGATCTAATCAAAACAAGATATTAATAGTAAAATCAAGAATGGTAAATGACATCTACGTAATACTATGCCTAAAAATAATGATATGTACACCATCAAATAATAGATGAATCTATGGATATAAAGAAACCCGCATTCAGAAATATATATACAAAATGTTATATGCATGTGCTTTAATGAGATAATACTATTGAGTTATATTAAATGAAAGACTTATGTTGGTAGAATGCGGAAAAAAGTGTTAATAAATTATTGAATTGGTTTAAAGTGGGTCATATCGAAGTTGAAAGATTTGTTCTACTCGAATTAGTTCCATTTAATGCCCAAAATTGTTGTAATGTTTGGATGTCTAAATAATTACAAAGTTAATAGAGGATCGATATACATTATTAGCATATATAAACATATTTATAATTTCTTACCATCTTCCGGTATGAATACACTCATAGTGCTTGGACGATCTGATATTTAAAATGGTTGTAAGATTTAAATATTAATATAAAATGCATCACAATGTCCAAAATATAGATGATGAGATAATAGAAACATTCACCTGTTTTGGATCTATTAACTGAATTTGTTACTAACGATAATAAATATTAATTTTATCAAAATTATCATTTCAATTCAAATTAAAGTTCATTAAAATAAACCGTTTAATGTTACCTAACATTTCTGAGTGATCAGTTTCAAGTGACTTTGATATAATGGTGTTGGATCCATGATATTGTTTAGCTATTATTGAGAATTTTTAGTTCGACAATAATATTCTATAGTTTACAATTTGAATTGATAAACTTACGTGTTGGTGGTAAGAAACTATAAATATCTCTGGTTGGTGATGATATTTTATTATAAGATTCCTTTGATCTTGGTAAATATTTTGTTGTATAAGAATTTCGTGTATTTGATGTAAAGTTATAAGTATTTCGTGATGGTAAATGATTGTGATCATCTCGTGAAGGTTGTAAGTTATTTGTTACATCTTGAGAAGGTTGTGATTGATTGTCTGTATCACTTTCTGATTGCGTTATTTCTTCCATAAAATCTATATACATATCATTTAATGTTAAAATATTTTCTTTTATTTAATGCTTTTTTTTACTATGATCAGTTTATAAAATAAATCAATTATTTTATGGTATTTTTAAATGATAAAATAATTGAACTATTTCATAAATCTGAGGTAGTAAATCATAAAATAAAACCGTTATTGCATGCTCCGTAAGCAATAACTGCTGTATTTTATGTTCTCTTCTGATCGTTCGGTAACCCAGCCGGTACGGCTGGATTACCAACCATCATCATCGTCCATAAAATACAGCAGTTATTTCATACGAAGTATGCAATAACTATATAATATTATTATTAAAAGATAAAATTGAATCTTACCTTGGTTATAAACTGAATGCGGAATATTCAACGAAAGATATTGTCGAAGTCGCATTTCTTTTATTTCTTCCGTAAAATCCAACAATCGACTGTGATACACCGCACCTGGATGAGTTACTTTCTTGTTATGAAACCTTCCAAAATGTGATTTCTTGCTATTTTTTCGCATGCAATTATTAAGTGAATTGTCTACAAGCCAAGAATAAATAGTTTTTGTAATCACTGCAGCATCTGGTCGGTTTGAAGGATTATCATCCCAGCAAGCTTTCATAAGCTCTGAATAGAATGACGGTGTACCGAAAGGAATTGGTGGTCTTTTGCCACTGCATATATCTTTAACTAAATCTAAATCATGGGGTATGCTATCATATGGCCTTGTACCCGAACAAATTTCCCACATTATTATACCAAAACTATATATATCGGATTCTTTTGAGTAACTTTGACCTCTGAAAAGTTCTGGTGCAATATAAGGAATAACTCCATAGACTTCGTTTTTACGTGTAAGTCTGCCAGCAGGTCCACAAAGTCCAACATCCCCAAGAACAAAATGTTTTCGATCAATGTTCATAATATTACCACTATGTAAATCACCATGAATAAGATCTCTTTTATGCATTTCTCCAAGAGAACGTGCGATTTGCTTAATTATTTGAATCTTTTCCTTCCAGGTCAGTCTTTTATGTTTTTGAAGATACGTATATAAATCTCCATGGGGTGCATACTGCGTAACCATCATGAATTCTCCAGTACTTGGTTGTTGAGTGATTCCATAACATCTCAAAAATTGAGGTTGCAAATACAGAACCCAATGCGATTTTATCTAAATAACAATAAATAATAATTACAATCATAACGATAATAATGAAAATAACAAAAAAGGAATGAATACCAACTTCGTTTAAAAAATCTAGACTTAAATCTTGTGAGTCTTTCAAACATTTCAATGCAACAGTTTGTCCAGAAGGTATCCAAGTTGCTTCATAAATAGTAGAAAAACCGCCACAATTAATCTGCTTGCATTTCATAAATTCACCAAAAGGAATCCAAATTAGATGCTGTGAAGGATCAGGATATTCCAATCTCATTTCATGTACAAGTTCATCAATTTGTTTAAAGCCACTACGCCAGTCCCTGCGTGCACCAGTGCTTGTTCGGTCTGGCGTATTTATGGATGATAATACAAGACCGTTATTTTGATTGATATTATAATCATCACTGGTTGTTATAATGCTAATTGATCGTTCCGTTATTTCTGCATTATCTTGGTGCTTTATTGCGAATATTTTGCGAAGTATTTTACTAAAAAAAAACATGATTTCAAGAATTAGTTGATATGATAGTAATGAAAAAGAATCGGCTAAGTGTAAAATGATAAAATTAATAAATTGTTGATAAACCGAAAATATTTGATTAAAGGATGAATAAGATAACGGAGTGTAAAAGGAAAAATAAAAAAAGAATGTAATAAGTAGGATTTATACTAATTTTTGATTAGATCATGGGACGAAGCAACCAATTGCATAATTAAGTTCAAGGAAAAAAAATTTTAAAATTACTATAGGAACTTACTGGAACATTGAATTCCTGCTAGTCATTTTAAACGAGAAACCTGTAGAATGCGGCAAATGTTTGGGTTCCCAAACAACTACTTATATAACTCCTGTTCTATATAATGGTTGGACAAATTTCCCTTCTTGGTTAGGATTAAAACACAAAATGGATGCCTCAATGGTTATTATAGTATAAGTAATGATACACTGTATAAACATGTAAAAACATCCGAAAATACCCTTACATTAGTAACAAATTAGTATGCATTGATCAGAGTTTATAGGTTGGTACGATGAATATCTACCCATATCAAGTTAGACCTGTGCTAATATTATAATAAATACACAAAAATTACAAAATTTACGAAAACCCCCTTTGACACTACGTATTTGATACAATTCATGCCAAAACATTCCTATTAAAGTATCTTATCCATGTTTTATTCATTTCAATTTACGTATACACGAGTTTTGATAGAATATAAAAAAATCATAAATTAGAAATAAAGTATAGAAGTACCACATTAATAATCGTGCAAGAGAATATAATCCTTGCTGAACATTATTTAGTTTTATAAGCCACCTTCACAAACATTATTGTCATTTAAAGTAGCTAGTTACAATGGACTTCCATATACGTATAGACTTTTGATAATGCATCACAACGAATTTCTAGATTTATATTTTAATAGCGATATATAGTTTTTTTTCTCTTAAAAGATGCCACTATTATCTTGCTAAATGAAGCTCTAGTAAGTTCCCATCTACTATTATATACACCATCCACGTATAGATCCTCAAGTTTATGGCAACATCAAATATGATTTCTGAAACTTTATCAATACTGTAGATCCGTAATTTTACCTGAAAAGTTAATCGATTGTATAAAGAGGTTACACGAAATTTTTGGAATTATTATTAGAATTTTAGCATTAACGCTAAGGTTAGTTATGGACTCGTTTAGTGTGCCATAGCAGATTTAGACATCAGGTTGACTGAAATTCGTGATCTGATTTGTCCATTACACGTTACACTGTTCCACTTAAGTTCACAATATGTATTAGGCGTAACGGAAATTCTTAAATTCTTCGTAGATGCAAAAACACTATATATTTCTGAATAAATGGGAGTGAATCAATATAAACACACCAAACCTTTTTAATAAATTTTTTAAACTTTAAACAAAAATGACAACAAAAATTTTAGTGCTTCTATCAAATCCGAATTGAATCCACAATAGATTATATAAAGCTAGCTTTTAAGCACATCCTTGGTCCGTTATTTAAGTTCTTTGGCCAATCCGAGTAAAAACCTCTGATCTGAATATTTGAATTTATCTGATCAATTCAGATTGTCGAATTTAGGATCGAAGCTATTAAATTCAATACAATTTTTTTAAGAATTACAGATAGTTTGGTTTCTGTTATAAGAACTGTATTATCATCTGCACATATTTCGAGCCATGTTTGAAATTTTAGAGCTGTATTGATATCTTGTACATTATGGTTTGTTAGTTTGATTGAGGTGAGGATAGAGGTGGTTGATAAATTGATTGTAGTTTGGTTTAGAGTTCTTAGTGAGAGATTACTTATTATCGGATTGTCTAATTGAAGGATTGGTAAAGATTTTTCACTTGGGCTCAGGTAGATCAGGTAGGTGGTTGAAAAAGAGTAGTAGTGCTGTGAGTTTGAAGTGCTCTGTTAGGAATTTTAGTATATCAGGTAGATATTTGTGATGTGTAACAAAGGATGAATTGTTAAGATTAGGATGGTTTTGTTGAATATATAGTAAGTTTTAAAAGATTATAGAATGTTTGAAATTTTTAATATACTTTTGTCTTTGTTGTTGGTTTGTGCTAGAATACAAATTCAAGTCTGTAGTAGGCTATAAAAGTAATAGTACTTTTATAAAATTTGTACTGTTCTACTAGTTATTTTGTTGTAATAATTAGTATTAATACTTTGCAAATATAATTAATAATATTAATAGATAGAAGCTTACTGTACTACAAGTAATATATTGTACTATATTGTAATAGTTTTTAAAAACTTATATCTGCTAATTTAAAAATTAAATATTTTTTTAAATATATATATATTAAAAAAATATTAAGATGAGTACTTACTTGAAATGCTTTATTAATATTAAATATAATGTTTAGTATAGACTAAGCCATGTTATATATATATTATGAAAGTACAACTAGCTATACATGCAACTTTTAGTTGTCTATTTAAGTAGTGTTACGATGCTATAGCCTTCTAAGTACCAATATAGCACAGTAACAAGGTCACCCAGTGCAGTGATATACTTGATGAATATACATGGGGTGGAAGTGAAGGGTTGGATTACTTCACTAGCAGGAGGCAAATAATTCGAGATAGTAATAGTATATAATTTTATTAAAATAAGAGATAGTAATAAGCCTTGCCTATAAGAATTACCCTAGAGGGGGAATATTACACTTTACAAGAAGGAATAAGAGAAGTATCTGATACTATAAGAGGGGTATGAACTTTAAACTGAGCAGAAGGGGCAAATGCACCCTTTATATATCTTTTACATACCAAGCCAAGGTAGTAGAGAGAGTTGAGGGCCATGTTGAGGGAGTTGAAGGCCATGTTGAGGGAATTGAAGGATTTGAGAGACTTGAAGGCTGTGTTGAGGGAATTAAAGGCTGTGTTGAGGGAGTTAAGAGACTTGAAGAACTTGAGGGACTTGAAGACCATGTTGAAGAAATTGAAGGCCGTGTATTATCTTTGATACTATCTTGTCTATCTTAGCCACAGTATGTGCCACAGTGGCTCTATTCTAATATTTTACTTAATAAAGTCTCTGTTAACTCTTATGCTAATAATAATATATAATACAAATATAATAATAAATATCCAATATAAAAATATAAGTTAATAAATAAATAATACAAAATATAGAATCTAAATTATGTACTAATCTACAAAAACCTGTTTCACAACAGTAGTTTATCTTTAGGTTTTATTTCTTAAACCATTTATTTAAGCACATATATATATATATGCTTAAATAATTAAAAGAAAATATAATTAAAACAAAAAATAAAAAAAATAAAAAATAAAAAATAAAAGGGTTAGGGTCCCGTAGCCTAGTGGTCTAGGCACCTAACTCTCTACAGACAAGGTCGACAGTTCAATTACAGCTGGTGGTAATTAATTTAATTAATTATCTCTGTAACCTTTGGGGGCTTTTGAATGCAGAACCCTGTGGTGGTAAGACCATGTGAAGTACATATTTGGCCGATAAAGAATTCTTGGAAGGAGTCCTGAGCTATGGAGAAGATTGGGCACTGTGTGTGACATAGGTCACAGAAGGTAATACTGCAGAAGGCTGTGTATGTAAATCCATAATTGGCAAGGTAGCACCAACAACCCTAAGGCGGCATTGGGATCTTGATTGGGAGGACGGCTATATGCAATATATCCAGAAGCGGTGAACATAGTAAGGAGCTATGGTAAGAGAATGGCTTTACCAAATATGGAACACCTCTGGCGCAAGGAAACAAGAAAAACGGTTAAAAGAAACCCTGATAAGCATGGAAGCAAGCGCTTCGGTGGTATGAAAATAAAGCCGCCAGTGAGTAATGTGTCGCACAACCTATATGGGAGTCGTGAAAGTATGACGAAACATAGCAGAAGCGCGGGTCTCGGGTTACTGGCTTGTGACAGTAATTAAATGAGATACTTAACTCCTGTCTTAAGGATCTAGACTTCTGTAATACTATACCAAGAGGAAGTACTATAAAAGGAGCGGTAACTAATTTGGTGGTGTACGACGTGAATACCTGGAACTATGTGAACAGCTCTCCTAATGGTGGCAGCAGGTGGCTTGAGATACAGGTCTTCAGACGGCGGCAGCATCTAGCTTGAGATACGGATTAGGATCTGAAGTAACATCTCGAGAGACACCAAACTGGAAGCAAAAAGAGCGCCCCACTTCTAGGACACCAATTTGGAAGTTATACAAGAAACAAATTAGGAGTAATATGATAAGTAATGAGGGGTGGATTATAACTGGTAGACATTGTACAGTAGTATATATAGCAGAGTATATACGAATTAGTAAAAAGATTAAGGTTCTGAGTTAAATCAGAACTTAGGGTGCTTTTTGATAGAGGTATCCGAGAATGTCCATCTCATATGTGAGATAGTGCAGACAGTTGCATTTGGGCGCCATATAGGGTAGCCGGGTGAGGTCATAACGACTACTTAGATAGATTAAAAGTATATGTAAATATATGTAATGTTCGCTTAAATAAGTAATAAAGTTAATGACAAAATTGTCGAAGTTTAAAAAAAAAAAAAAAAAAAAATTAAAACAAAAAAATTTTTTATATTAATTTTTATTCTAAATAGCTAGAATGAACTCTATAAACTAGAGTTATATAGCATACTTTATAGCTACAGCATGGTATGCTTTAATAAACTCAAATAAAGAGTACAAATTTGCACTATTACTATAAACTATGCTATAGTCAAACCTCCATAAATACAACCTTCATAAATGCAATACTTCTCTAAATGCATATTTCTGACCTGGCTGTAAAAAATCATTAGTGCTAAATACATGTTTTATATTTTGCAAATGCATATTTACTCAAAAGATTTTCTATATTATACTAACCTCCTAAATGCACATAGCCAATCAGAATTCAGTATTCAAGTTGTGTTATACAAGCCTGCAAATCAAATATTAAAAGCTACAATTTGATTGGTTTTCTTTAAATACAA